ATTGCTGCTCAACTTGCTCTTTCCTGCAGGGATGAGGAGACAGAGTCCGCACCAATAGCTGAGCACCCCAAGAGGCAGCCTAGGGGTGCAGCTTTCATTTTCTGACTGGCTTTGTGCAGGGGTCCTCCGAAAAGCCCGTTGCGTGCTGGAGCCCAGCTCATGCCTTCTGTCCCCAGCTGTCCCCCCAGGCCCTTTGTTCCTGGAGCCCACAAGTTCACCCAGCTCCCTCTGGTGACTCTGAACTTCTCAGAGTGGCCAGTCCCCCATGTGCTGGTGCCTCCCAGGACAGCTCCCCATGGGAACAGCCTGTGCCCGACTGTGTCAGCCTGTGCCCTCACCCCACACCAAGGCAGCTGGGCCAAGAGGGCTGGCTCAGGCTCGCTGCGCCTGCCCTGAGCCTGGCATCGCTCCACTGCAGCCGTGCTCCTGACGAAAAGCCTCCCCCATGTAGGAGATCCTAGAGCACAGAGGGCGGATGGCATGGGGAGCTGACCGGTTCGTGAACGTCTGAGCATGTCTTCAGGGAGCTCACGGTGTTCACACTCTCTGCCCAGGGCCTAGCACACTGCCCAGCACGGAGTTAGTAAGGGGAAACCTAATGGAAAAGGGTGCAGGGCAACACCGGATGCCCCTGAGCTCACCTTTAGGGGGACAATACACACTCATCTTTAGTCCAGACTTTCTGTCTGCCTGCCTCTGTGTTGGTGGGGGTGTGTGTGTGAGCGTGTGCGCATGCTTCTCCAAGACTTAGGCACACAGTGACATTCAGTCTATGCATCTGATGGGCTGACACTCCTCAGAGCTCCCCAAGAGCAATCTTAGATGCCTCCTGGCTTCCTGGTTTCCCACTCATGTTTCCTCTGAGGCTGCAGGTCTACGGGCCCGAAGGTCCTTGGTCCAGAGAGATGACTAATAAAACTGGATTAAGTGGAAGTTGAAGAGAACAATGAGATTGAATCATCCTGATCTGTGACAAGAGAGAATAGATCTGCCCACTGAGGGATGGAGCTAAAGGACAGGGTTCAGGCCTTCCTGGAGAGTCACAGGGCTACACCCGCATATCCAGTGTCAGGGCAGGAACACAAATGCATGACTGTGCATGCGCACACCCTCAGACATAACCATACGCAGACATAAACATGGGTATGTATGTGGAGACACAAGAACTTGATGCTCAAACTTGCATATAGAGAAATACAGGGACACAATGCCCATTTATATATGCACACACAGGGATGTATGGACAGCACACGCAGCTGCACCCAACACACACACACACATCTAAACACAACACAGAGTTGCACCCAACACACACACACACACACACACACACACACACACACTCACATCTAGACACCACACACAGATGCATTCAACACATACAGACATCTAGACACCACACACAGATGCATTCTACACACACATACACATGCGCACCCTACCCCTGCCAGCGAGCTGGTGCACTCAGCTTTCAGCGCCCTGTCTCCTGTCTGTCATACTCCGCTGTATTTCGGGGAAATCCAGAGCCGAACACCTCCCCGCCCGCCCTGCCCCGTCACCGAGGCCTCAGGACTGGCAGGTAGACAAAGGGCAGAGAGCAAATGATGATGGAGCACCTCTCTGCGCCAGACACCGGGACTTGGCACGGCAGCACCCAGGAGGTGATCTGCAAACTCTTTGGAGTGGAGAACTCTTTGTTTAAAGGGAATCCTATCCAAAAGTGCAATAGAATGAGCATATGTAAGCAGAGCTGCTCTGGCCGACTTGGGGAAGGACGTCTGGACTCCACCCTCTCTGGTTCCCCTTGACTGTGACCCTGGGGCTTTACACCAGTGTGAAAGCCACCGTGGGACATTCCATTTAGTCTGCAGAATGACTCTGCCAAGCAAAGTCAGGTGTCTACTCTGCAGAGGGGGAAACTGAGGTCCCATAAGGAGGATAACAAGTCCAAGTTCACCAAACCATTAAGGCTGAAAGACAGGATCTTCAAAGCATTAGATCCCTGTAAAACTCCCCTCGATTTTCTATTCTGAGAAGTCCCTTCATTTGCACAGTGTCTGGGGGTCCACTGTTTGAAATAACAGGCCCTGGAAACCTGATATGTGTGTAAGAGTGAGTGTGTGAGAGAGAAAGTGTGTGGGTGTGTAAGACTGTTAGTGAGTATGTGTGTGAGTCCACGTACGTGTGTGAGGGAGTCCATGAGGGGAGTGTGTGTGCGAAGGTGGAAGTGGATGTGTGTAAGTGTGTGCCCGTGGCTCCCGCAAACATGGGAACACAGGTGTTCTCAGTCAGTTAAGCACGACATCCGAGTAGCAGTTATTCTGCACCCCCCTTGTGAGGCACAGGTGATGGGAAGGTGAACCAGGCATGGTGCCTCCTCTGGGAGACAGACGACCTGACCTGCACGGGCAGAGGAGGGAGTGTGACATCAAAAGCTGTGTGTGGAAGGGACTGTGAGGGGCTCTGTGGGGGGAGCCTGAAGGAATGTGCCTTGCCAGGGAGGGTGTACACAGAACTGGGAGAGTGCTGAGTGTGTGAGGGGGCATATCCTTGGGGTTCAGGCCCGGAAATGAAAAGTGGCAAGTAGGGGCCAGGGCAGATGGTCGGAGAGAGCGACAAAGTGAAGCGATGTGAGGCTGGGGCTGGCAGTTGGAAATGGGGGAGAAGAGGGGAGCCATCTGCTCACAGCCCCCGAAACCCAAACACCCACCCTTCGCGGCTCCTCCGAGCATGCCTTGCTTACATCCTCCCTGACAGGCCCTGGGGCCATTTCTCCACACCCCCTCTCCCACCTCCACAGACAGCTTCAACTGCTGAGGAAGCAGCAAAAGGCGGGAGGTGGTCATCTATGAATGTCCACGGGGCTTGAGGGTTCTCTTTGTCAGGGAACGCATGTCAGATGAGACAAGGAGGATCCTGAGTGTGCATTGGTGTTCAGACCGAGTCCTGGCCCCAGGACAGTCTATGTGGTCTGCAGCCTGCCTTCCCAACTGCGCCCACCCACTCCCCATATCTAAGCAGGCAGCATTCCCAGACCAGGCATCCGGGAACATCTCAATGTCACAGTCGGAAGGGCACTGGGAGAGCACCCATTTTCCAGATGAAGACCCTGAAACCCTGTGATCCTGTGATGGGGTGGAACTTGCTCAAGATCAGTCAGGCACCCCTTCCTGCCTGGATCCCCTTTACTTCCTCTTGTTGTTGTCTGTTGCTGGGGGTCAGCTCTGACTCAGAGACTCCATATGAAGCAGAATGAAGCTGTCTTTGTGACTGCGGGTGTGCATTCTGAGAGGCTTGCATCCAGGGACCACCTTCCAGCACTGTGTCGGACAGCTTTCTGTTGTGATCCTAAAGGGTTTTGTGGGGTTTTTTCCCCTGGCTGATTTTCATCTCACATACTTCGGGCATGTGTTGTCAGGAGGGCCTAGTTCTTGGAAAAAGACATCATGCTGGAAAAGGTCAGGAAAGCGAGGGTGAGTGTTGACAGGATGGATTGACACGGTGACTGTCACCATGGATTTGAGCAGGTCAGAGCTGGTGAGAAAGGTGCAGCAAAGGGCTAAGTTCAGAGCTGTTGTTCGCTAAGGGTCATAATCGACTCCATGGCACCTAACAACAGTTTTCAGAAGTAAATGTCCAGCTCTTTCTTCCTAGTCTGTCTTCATCTAGAAAGTCCACTGGAATCTGTCCATCTTGGGTGACCTTGCCAGGATTTGAAAAACTAATGGCAGAGCTTTCCAGTATCATACAGGACACAAGCCACCAGTGTAACAAACTGACAGACAGGCAACGGTCCCTACTCCTAGGTTTCTGCAAACAGGCAGTGAGACAAAAGAGCAGAATCCCCATCAGCCTCTTGGTCGGGCCCCGCCCTGCGATCTGCAGCCCTCCCAGAACTCAGAATGTCAGCCTGCAGGCGGTGTGGGGGGCACTGCGAAGGTTGGCCCTACCCTCCCCAGAACTCAGGTCAGCTTGCAGGTGGAGTTGGGGGAGTTGGCAAGGCTGACCCTGCGTCCAGCCATCACCTTGCGGGCGGAAGTCCCATTTTTCAGGCCGACTTGCTCTTAGGGCTTACCCGGAAGTGAAATTTCCAAAGGTCCAGAGAAGGTGAGGATGGCTCAGGACAGGGCAAGATTCAGTCCCGTTGTTCACAGGGTGGCTAGAGTTGAACCAAATCAGGGACACATGATAACAACAGCAACCAGGATTTAGCCAAATAAATTCTTCTCTTGCTCATCTCCATGCAAAAGGGAGGCGCTGTGTTAACTCTTCCTGCTCAGAAGGCCTGTGGGGGCACATTAGCCCAGCCAGGGTCACAGCCCCACCAGGCAATGTATTTACAGGGACAAACCATGAGACTCATCTTATTGCTAGAAAACTTATTGCTAAGTGGTCCTAGGATACTTAATGCAGCTCCCAGAGGTAGCTGGGAAGTTGGAAAGGGGGAGAGTCGACCCCAATCACTGCAGAAAGTTACTAGTTCCCCAAACCCAGGCCCTGGCTCTGTTCTCTTGTGGACTGAGTGCTGTTATTGGAGATTATAAGAACTATTACTGGAAATGCCCAGACAGGCGGGCAGGTGGGTTCCCATCTCCCGATTAGCTGCTGCTTTTACTTCCTGAGCAGCACCCCGCTGGCCGGAGGGATGGCAGGTCCCGGGCAGGCCAGACTCCCTGGAGGCCCGCAGGAGGCACTCAGCCTGGGAGGAGCATCTTGGTAATAGCCAAGCCCCTTCCCCTGAGTCCCAGGAAGGAGGATTAGTGCAGGAGCAATTCCGGCTGCCCCTCATCTCCCCTCCCCTCCCCTTGCCTCCCCCTGCACCCCCGCTGGGCCCAGACAAAGCATTACCAACCCAGATGTGCCCAGAGCTGGGAGGGCCGGCCTCAGCTCAGAGCCTCCCTCTCCTGTCTCCCTAGATTCCTTCTTTGCCTCCAGCCAGAGCCGCTCGCTGGACTGAGGCTCCTCTCCTCCACTCCCTGACTCCGCCTGGGACGCCCACCATGTGGACACCGGCCTGGAGAAAGCCACCCCTGCTGCTGCTGCTGGCCACCACGGCCTTTCTCTCCTCTGCAGGTAAGAGGGCACATCTCAGGGCCAAAGCCCAGCAGGGACGTCCTTCCATCATAGCTGTCACAGGGACTTCTATCATAGGGATATCTGGTGGCCTGGTGGTAAGAAGCTGTGTGAACCCAAGGCACGTGATTCAAATTCACCAGCTGTTCTGCGGGAGAAGGATGGGCAGTCTCCTCCCATGTAATTAACTGCCTCTGCAAACCCGCTGGAGGGTCAGCTATGGGTCAGTCCCCACTCGATGTTACACACCAACAGCAACAACCAAAGCTGTTACTATGAGTACAGAAATTATCAAATGCATTGCTATTGTTGTTATGTGCAGTCGAATCAGAACTGACCCATGGCTGACCCTCCAGTGGGCTTCCAGACGCAGTCAATTGCACAGGAGACTGCCCATCCTCCTGTGGAGCAGCTGGTGGTTTTGAACCGCATACCCCCAAGCTGGCAGCACAGCTCCATACCCCCAGGCCACCAGAGATCCTGGATTTCTTTCCTAAAACATTTCCAGGGAGCGCTGGTGGCATAGTCTGCAGAGAATGGCATTAAGGCCCCACCTCGGGGGCTTCAGGGTAGAAAGATGGGCAGCAATCGTCCCAGGAGATTTACCACCTTGGAAACTCAATGGTGGGTCAGCTAAGAGTTGGTCCCTATGAGGGATTTGTGCTTTTCAGTAAAGTATTCCCATTTGTGGTTCTCTGAGGTGAGGAAGAGAGGGAATGAGTCTTCTCCTATTACAGGTAAAAAAAGAACGATGCCGAGGTGGTGCATGATTTATACATGCAGAACTAGCCCCAGCCGAACCAAACAAGGGGACTTACTGCCTCAGAGCTGGTCCTCCTCAGCCATCGCATGTGCTAGAAAACATATTACTAAGTGATCCTAGGGCTTTCTTGGTTCTTTATTATTTTTTTTTTCCCTTCATGAGGGTTTGTTTAGAAATCATATTGGTTTTTCATATGGTCATTCATAGTCACTTTGTTTAAAGCCATCAATGGCCATTGATAGAGGTAGCACATTTATTATAGTATCTAATCAGTTCTGGTGGCTTAGTGGCAAGGAGCTGAGCTGTCAACCCAAAGGCACCCAGTTCAAATTCACCTCCTGCTTCCCAGGAGAAAGATGGGTTGTCTCTCCTGTGTGATTTACAACTGAAACCTTCTGGAGGGTCAGCTGTAAGTCAGATTCCACTCAATGGCACGCAGCAACAGTAACAATCAAGGCCTAATGGTGCATTTTGCCTGCAGCCTTAGAAGCAGCTCACCAGGTCTTGCTGCTGAGGTGTTATTGGGTGGGTTCAAACTTCCTGCCTTTTGGCTAGGAGTCAAGTGCAAACTGTTGGCACCACCCAAGGACGTCTGGATCAACCAGGTCTCTGTGGTCAAGCCAACGTTGCAGCCTCTTAAGGCCACACTTCCCAACAGAACAGCCAATAGCCATAGGTATAGGTGGCTGTTAAATTAAAAAGTTGGGTTCAGTGGCTGCACCAGCCACATCTCCAGTGTGCTGTAGCCATTTTTGGACAATACAGGCTATGAGCATGTCAGTCATCAGAGAAAGTTCTACTGAGCAGAGCTGCTCTGGAGTCTCCGTGAGGAGGAGACAGGAATGAAGGTAGAGGGACTCAGAAAGCATTCCTCAAGGCGATACTTGCAGCTTGACAAACAGACTGGAGTGGAACAGGGACTGGGAAGAGCTGAGGCAGGGCAGGGAGGCCCCGGCAAAGGCAGGGGCCAGGCCAGCAGCTTCACCCCTGGGAAGGAGGGAGGTTGACAGGCAGGACCAGACAGGAAGAGGTTGGTGAGGCCCAGGCTTTTCTGAGAAGGTGCTGAGAAGGAGCCGGAGAGCCAGCCTGTCCTCTAGCTAAGGGGGTCTCCAGCCCACCTGCTCCTGCTCTGAGGACCTGCTGGGACCACTGATTGGCCCCCTGCCCTGATTGTAGCCCAGATCAACACAACCAGGAAGTTCTGGCCTCAGTGACAACTTCTCCTTCCTCTCCATTTTCCCCACTCCCCACTTCCCCATCTCCACCAGGTTGCAGCCAGCAAATTTTAGGGTCTTGTCTTCCCAGGAGAAACTCCACTGGCACACTTTCAGAGACCTCCTTATGTCCTGAAAACACCAGTTGTTGTTGATTCTGCCTCATGGTGACTAATGTTTCCACTGGCTGGGGTTTAGGCTCTGGAATTCAGAGCTGTGACCCCAGGGCTAGTCAGTGAGGAAAGCCAAGAGCTGAGGTGCCTTCCCTGCATGGCAGGAGCAAGCGACAAGGTTTCCCAGGCCATTTCTGTGGGAGGCAACAAGGCAGGACTGTGCCCCTTGGTAGTTGGCTCCCTGAATCAGAGGGTAGGGTTCTGAGACTGAATTGTCCCTGAGTGAGGGGAATGGCGGGTGCTCTCACCTGAAGGTGCTTTCTCTTGCCCTGTGCAGCCTAAAGTGGCAGCGGAGGCTGAGACTGGGCCCCCCAGGAGCCGTTCCTCCCAGGCTGGGGGTTGCTGGGCTGACATGTGGATGCAAAACTGCTGGACGGCCCTTCCAGCCCCTGGTTCAGGCCTATTTCCCAGCTGACTCTTGATTTAGAACTTGATGGGGGTACCTCAGTGGTGCAAATGGTTAATGTGCTTGGCTGCTAACTCAGAAGCACTTTGTAAGAAAGGCCTGGATAGATTAAGGGAGGACGTGGGGCAAAACTTAAACATGTACAAAAGTCCAGGTTAACTGGTCTGCATGGAGACTGTGCTTCGTCACCCTTCTAATCTGGAATAAAATTCTCTTCTAAGCCTAATTCAACAGATGACAGGCCTGTAAGGGAGCACTGGCAGCATAGCCCACTGAGAGTTTGCTGCTAAACCAAAGGTTCAAATCCACCCTCATCTCCTGCAGAGAAAGATGGGAAGTCACTTCCCATGTGACACACGGCCTCAGAAACCCAGTGGAGCGCCAGCTATGTGTTAGTTTCAGCTGTGTGAGGAGGTTATAAAGCGACCAGTAACATCAAAGAGGTACTCACACCTTAAAAAAAAAAGGCATTTTCCCCAAGGATAAAGCCCAAAAGCGGTAGAGTAGAAGGATGCATGGAAATGAGAATTACAGGGAGGGAGTGGGGAAGGTGAGAAGACATTGTGGATAGTGTCATTAATGTTCTAAAATAAAATGTATATGAATGAGCGAATGGAAAACCAATTTGCTTTGTAAACATTCACTCAAGTCACAAGAAAGGAAAAACAAAAAGACCTGACATATCGGCCGTGAGAACCCTAAGCAGTACGTCTCCTGTGCACGTTGGATGGGCTATGAATGCCAACCAGTCTGTGACACTACCAGCACAGCAGCCTCACCATGCAGCACCCATAAACATCTGGGGTCCTTGGCCTGATCCTTAGGCCAGGGCATGGAAGAGGACCCCCAGACAAATCCAGGGGGAAACTGAAGCAAAGAATCGTGGGCACTGTGGTTAAAGCTGTCAGCGGGGGGTTGAGACTGGCCAGGGTTCAAATCCTCAGCGCTGTTCCTCCTGGCCGTGTGAGCTGGGCAAGTCTTTCGCTTTTGAAGGCGAAGTTCCCACATTCACAAAGTAAGAAAACAGCACCACTTGTATTGTAAAACATTTACAACTAGGCAGTAAGGAGCCTGGTACCTGGCAAACAGTAAACTCATCGCAGTGAAGTGGGAAGTGACTCATAGCTGACCCTCCATTGCACGGGTGGAGATTGCCCACCTTTCTCCCGCAGGGCCACTGGTGGATTTGAACGGACTAGGCCACCAGAGCTCTGGTAAACGATAAGTGCTCAATAAATAGTACCCATCCACTGGTGCTCCAGAGAAGAAAGGGAGGGCTTGGACATCATCTAAAACCTCAGGTATGGAACCCCGTGGAGCAGTTCTCTGACACGCATGATGTTCCCTTAATGGGAATCTACTCGCAGGCACCCAGCTTGCCTGTGTCACGTGTGGACATTTGTATCTGTAGGTCACGGGTGAGTGCAGGACAGATGTGTATGTGTCTGTAGCTGGATAGCTGAGCAGCTCCCAGAGGTGACCACGTGCACACACGTGATATACGTGTGCACATGGGAAAGGCTGTGCGGGCAGGAGGTGTGAAGGGTGTGTGAGACTGCGAGGTGTGCAGGGCTCAGTACAGAGGAGCCTCCTTTTGGGGGGAAGAAAGAGAGCCTTCGGGCACCAGTGTTCCCTGAGCCCACCCCGCCACCTCCCACCGTAGATGGAGTTCCTGGAAGCTGCTATTTTGCAAGGTGGTTCTTGCAGCCTGCTGCCTCCGCAGCCCCATCATTGCCCTCCCAGGAGTCCCAGCTGGGGCAGGGGTATCTACGCCCAGCCACCATCATTAATTTGGGATTAAGCTGGGCTCTCCAACCAGGATGATTCAACCCCTCTCCACAGCCTGGGGCAGCAGTAAGAAATAGTGCTGGGGGGGGGGGCGGGGGGCTTGTCTGCACCAAACCATTCTTAGGAGCCCTGTGCCTTCCTCATTCTATGAGCTGCTGAACAGCTGCCCCCCTCTCCCAAGGGGCCAGGCTGGGCCTCAGCTGCAGCATGGGGGCCCCAGCCCCAACCCTGGAAGAAGGCTGACAGCTCAAAGGTCTGGGAGTGCAGGCACTAATTGGTTAATGGGGATCCCCTCCATGAACTACCAAGGAGAGACGGAAATCAGCTGTGCTGAGGGGTAGGAGCCAATTAGGGGAGGTCTGCCTTCCAGGGCGCAGCCACACGGGAAAGCGCCAGACCCCACCAGTCACAACAGAATTGCGCCCGTGCAGGAAGGCTGCCCCTCAGGGCTCCTGGGTCCTCCTGCTGTCTGGGCACACAGGACAATGGTCCATGCAGACAGGCCTCTGTGTGTGGATGTGGTACCCGCGTGTCCCACCAGCTCAGGAGCCCTGCAATCTGGACCTGCCAGTGCCTCAGACCCACTGTGTGTCCATGGGCAAGGCACGCCCTTTTCTGGACATCTTGAACTGTCACACGACCTGCCCAATGGCCACCCACCACAGTGCCTTCCTCCTTCCCGGTCTGCATCCACCCCCGGCGTGGGCCCCCGTAGACACTAAGCAGGTTTAGGGGCAGGCTTCTCTCAACTCATTGTTCTAGAGCGTCCGCCCACAGACCCTGCGAGGTGAGTTCGTACATATTGTTCCTGCCATTTCATACATGTGCACACGGAGCCTCAGAGGGTTCAGCAATTTGCCCAAAGACACACAGCAAGGCTGGGGCTCTGTCTGAGCCCTAAAGCCTAGGCCCCCTCCTTGATGCCAGGGATTTCAAAGGCCTGCATGTTCCCTCTCCACCTCTCTGGCCCAGTGACATCTCCGAGCAGTGGGTACTGCTTCCACTTAGAGAGTCCCAGCCCCCTGGCCATAAACCTCTAGCTCAGCTTTGACCACTTGCATGGGCCACAAGTTCCTTGAGGAAAAGGGACCATATAATTCATTTTTGCAGCCCTGCTATGCATCAGAGATCTGGACAGTGACTAGGGGTAATAGAAAGATAGTTGATAGCTTTGAGTTGTGGTGTTGAAGAAGAGTGTTGAATATACCATGGACTGCTAAGAAAACAAACAGGTTTGTCCTGGAGAGGGTTAAGCCAGGCTGCTCTTTGGAGGCAAAGATTCTGATACTTTGTCTGACATAATTTGGACATGTTACAAGGAGGGACCAGTCCTTGGTGAGGGGCATCATACTTGGGAGGGTGGAGGGACAGCACAGGAGAGGAAGACCCTCTATGAGGTGGATTGATTCAGTCACTGGTGCAATGGCAATAGGTGTGTCAGAGACAATAAGATTGGCACAGGATAGAGCAGGCTTTAGGGCTCTTGTACATAAGGTTGCTACGAGTAGCAACTCTACGGCACATGACAACAAAACAACTTCTAGCCCAGAGCCAGGTACACAGCAGGTGCTCGTTCAGTCCCCAAGTGTAGGACAGATGACTGGCTCAGCTAACTGGACCAGATGAGACCTGCACTGTCTGTTTAAATCTCTATTGCATTTAACTGTACACATAGGAATTATTGAATTGGTGTGTATCTTGCTGTGCATAATCTCAAAAACAGGAAAATCCACTTAAAATAAATATACATATATCTATTTAGCATCATTAAAATGAAAATAAAACACTGAGGTCCTCAGGTGCACTATTCGCCTATCATGTTCAATGAGCATGTGGGGATCATGGCTGCCATATTGGACAGCGTGGAAAAGAGAGCATTTCGGTCATCAGGGATGTTTTCTTGGTAACCAAAGCCCCGGAGGCTGGGGTCCAGCCAGTCTCAGGTCCTGAGATCTCCAGTGGTGTCCCCCACCTGCAGCTTGGACCTCTGCTCGGGGAACCCCAGCCACCTTTGGGCCTGTCTTTGAAGACCAGCCCCTTGGCCTGCTATTCCCAGAGGAGTCTACGGAGGAGAAGGTGACGCTGGGATGCCGCGCCCGAGCCAGCCCCCCCGCCACCTATCGGTGAGACCTCTGTGGTGGGGGTGGGGGCCCTGGGCAGCTACTCAGTGTTTGTTCACATCTGGTGCAGGGCGGACCCAGCTGGACAGGACTCAGCTCCCCGCCATCCCGACCACTTTCTGCTGCAGGTGGAAGATGAACGGTACCGAGATGAAGCTGGAGCCGGGCTCCCGTCACCAGCTGGTGGGGGGCAACCTGGTCATCATGAACCCCACCAAGGCCCAGGACGCCGGCGTCTACCAGTGCCTGGCCTCCAATCCAGTGGGCACCGTGGTCAGCAGGGAGGCCGTCCTCCGCTTTGGCTGTGAGATCCAGAGGGCACAAGGACCCAAGATAGGGGAGGAGTGTTGGGAGAGTGTCCACAAGGGGCAGGCACGTGGCACCCTCACATCAGAAACTAGTCCCACAAGACTTGCCCTAGAGGCTACTCTGCCAGAGGGAGGGAGTTGGGGGGAATCCCGGGATTGGAGGACAGTGCCTGAGCCCCTGGTGTCCCCCCAGTTCTGCAGGAATTCTCCAAGGAAGAGCGAGATCCAGTCAAGGCGCATGAAGGCTGGGGGGTGATGCTGCCTTGTAACCCACCTGCTCACTACCCAGGTGAGTCAGGGCCTGAGCCGAGGTCAGTGGGCCCAAGAGGCCTTCTGGACTTTGTGCAGGAGAGGTGCAGAATAAAAGGGGCCAAGTGGCCCACTGATGGGTGGGTCCCCAGTCATCTTTAAGTGACTATATTTCCTTTCTGGGCCTGGAATTTTCTAGCTGTGAGCTTTGCTTCTGCCTGCAGACTTGAAGCTCACTGAGTGCCACAGCTGTGTCCCGCCCCACTCTGGAAGGTGTGCAGTGACAGGAGCAGGGGATCCCCATCAGAGAGGGAGCTCCCTGAGAGTAGCAGTAAAGTCCCAGCTTGCTTTTCCCAGCTCCAGTTCACAGCCCTGAAGGCGCTAGGGACAGGGTCTACGGAGTCTCCCCAAGTGCTGCCCCAAGCCCAGCACCCCTGACCACCTCAAATTCCCCATGTCCTAGGCTTGTCCTACCGCTGGCTCCTCAATGAGTTCCCCAACTTCATCCCAACGGACGGCCGCCACTTCGTGTCCCAGACCACAGGGAACTTGTACATTGCCCGGACCAATGCCTCAGACCTGGGCAACTACTCCTGCCTGGCCACCAGCCACATGGACTTCTCCACCAAGAGCGTCTTCAGCAAGTTTGCGCAGCTCAACCTGGCTGCTGAGGGTCAGGACCGGTGTGGTGTGGGTGGGAGGTGGGGGGGTCAGGGATGGGAATACCCAGGGTTGGGAAGACCAGTTAACACCTCCTCCCTGCAAATCTTCAGACCCTGGTCCCGGGCCCCAGACTCTCCTCAGCTCACACACACACACACACGCTCACACACACACACACACACACACACACAAGAACATGCACACAGCCACACAGCCTCCTCTGAACAGGTTGCAGCACCCTGCACAGGAGCACTGCTTGGAGGCAGCCTCTGCCTCTGATGTGCAAAGCCCTGTCTCCCCAGATCCCCGGCTCTCTGCACCCAGCATCAAGGCCCGCTTCCCAGCAGAGACCTATGCGCTGGTGGGGCAGCAGGTCACCCTGGAGTGCTTCGCCTTTGGGAAGTGAGTAAAGTGAGGAGGGAGCTGGACTGGGCTGGCGCTAGGAGAGGGCAGGCAGGGGCGGGTCTGGTCATCTTGGTGCCTCTGCCTGAGTCCAGTACTTTGCCAGTGCCTGGGACATAGCAAGGAGCCACCAGCCCTCACTGAGCGCTGACTCTCTGGATCAGATGCCACACCTGCCAGAGCCTTAAACCCGTGGTCACTTGGTCACTCAGAAGCTCAAACAGGACTGGTGGCAGGCCAGCACGCTGGACGAACTCTAACCTTCCTCTGTCACTCGGCTATGAGCCCGGGTCAGCTACTAAGCCTCTGCAAACCTCAGTATATGTACTTACAAGATGGTGGACTAGCCCGTAGGGAGTTGGGCTGCTAATCCAAAGGCCTTGCCTCTATGATGGATGGTTCAAATCACCAGCAAACCCAAGGGAGAAAGATGGGCAATCTACTTGCGTGCAATTTAGAGCCCTAGACACCCGCTAGAGGTCAGCAATGAGCTGGCTCTGATGACTCCATGGCAATGACTTTGACTTTGACCCAGAATTGTTATGAGGATTAAATGAGTTAATGCATGCAAAGTGCTTAGAACACTGTCTAACATTTAGTAAATGTCCTGTGAATGTTAACAGATACCTTGTGAAAGAAATGACAACAGAAAGCATCTTCTGCTTTGCTCTCCCAAGAGAGGAGTCACTAGGACAGGACTAAGCATATAGGTGGTGCTCAATAAATATTTATTGAATGAATGTGATTTGCACTTTGCACCCTCAGCTATGTCATTCCATTATTCAGGTTGCCCTCTGCTTTGTGGAGAGTTATTGGGCTTCCAAAAAGCCATATTAAACACCTTTAAGATTCAAGATGCCTCAGTTCATTTCAGCGCATAGATTAGCAATATAAAGAGACCTTCAGAAAGCATAGACAAGAGGGGAGGAAAACGGGTTCCTAAAGGCCCAGGGCCCAGGTCACTGCTGAAGAGGACAAACCCAAAGAGGCACAGTGGCCATCAGGAGACTAGCTTCATAGGCCTCACCATGCTGGGAAGAGGGGGAGAGGAGAGCCTGCATCCAGCCCTTCACTGCCTGAGCTGTGGGCTGCCTGGGAAAAACTGAACAAACAGCATGAGAAGGGGCCCAAGGCACCCTCCCACCCTCCGTGTTCCCTCCCTGTCCCTCCCCAACCCAGCAACCCTTGCCCTCCTCCTCATGCCCACCTGCCCAGGAGAGCAGAGGGTCTGGGTGCAAGGAGGTGCAGGCACGAGGGTATCCTGCTCAGCCCGCCCCCCTGACTTTGTTTCCCCTGCCAGCCCCGTCCCCCGGATCAAGTGGCGCAAAGTGGACGGCTCCTTGTCCCCACAGTGGGCCACAGCCGAACCCACCCTGCAGATCCCCAGCATCAGCTTTGAGGATGAAGGCACCTACGAGTGTGAGGCAGAGAACTCCAAGGGCCGCGACACCGTCCAGGGCCGCATCATCGTTCAGGGTATGGAGCCCGGGCTCTCTCTCCCCCTTCCCTTCAGCCCCAAAAGTCAAGGAGGCCCTCCTCCGGCCCAAGGCTGCCTTGTGTGGGGGGAACAGACGAGAATGTGGCCAGCTCAGAGCTTGATCAAGGGTGCCAGAAAGAGCATGTGGCCAGCTCAGAGCTTGATCAAGGGTGCCAGAAAGAGCACACAGAAAACTTCAGAATGATTACAGTCGCGGAAACAGCCAGTGGCACAAACTGCCAGCTTTCTTGTGCCTGCTTCTTCCTTCCCCAACAGCCCCTTTGTCTTTTCCATCGTGGAGTGCTGCTCATGCCCTCTGCTGTCTGGCGCAGGAACTGCAACCTTGCTGTGATTAAATGACAGGAAGCACCCTCCATTCATCCCCAGGCCCTCTCTCTTCCTCCCACAGCTCAGCCAGAGTGGCTCAAGGTCATCTCAGACATGGAGGCTGACATCGGTTCCAACCTGTGGTGGGGCTGTGCGGCTGCCGGCAAACCCCGACCCACGGTGCGCTGGCTGAGGAATGGGGAGCCTCTGGCCTCGCAGGTAGGAAACCTGGGACATCCTTTGCTCCCACTTCACCGCCAGCAGCCCCTCAAGGCTAGTTAGGATTCCAGAGGGTGGTTCTAAGCACTTCATTCTATCCCAGAGTCATGTGGCCACATGCTAGCCCAAGAAAGCCCGCAGTTCAAGTCCTGCCTGGAGAATCCAGAGTCTCAGTTGTGTCCTGGGTCTCTCACAACACACACTGGATGGGTGCTCTGCCCTCTGGCTTTAGTTTCCTGTTTGTGGAGAGGCCTGGTAATCTCTGAGGTTCTGGCCAGGACTCCCAGACCTGGACATGTGAGCCCCCATCCATCACTTCCCCCCGAGGGAGCTGACAGTGTCACCTTCCCTGCGCCCACCCGTCCCATCACCCCTCCATCCTGGTCCTCCAGCCTTCCTGACCCCTGCCCTGCCCTGGGCTGGACTCTTCTGCACAGAACCGGGTGGAGGTGTTGGCCGGGGACCTGCGGTTCTCCAAGCTGACCCTGGACGACTCAGGCATGTACCAGTGTGTGGCGGAGAACAAGCATGGTACCATCTACGCCAGCGCCGAGCTGGCCGTGCAGGGTAAGGGCCCCGGGGCCACGGCTTCGCTGAGCACACGGGCGGGACTTTAGCAGTTCCAGACTACCGTGAGCTTTCTCCACATGAACACACACATGTTACAGAGCTTTCCTTAACTTTACAAATAGAAGAGAGGGGTTTGAGAAGGAGGCGAGACTCTAGGCTGAGCCCACGGGGAGAGTCTCAGTCTTGTTCTTGTCTGGCTGGCACAAATAAGTGTTTGCCATTGAGGAAAAAATGGTGGCAAAAGTAATTTAAAGTCAAATTCATTAAATCTATGTTCGAATCCTTTCAACTGTGTGACCTTTGGCAAGCAACTTAACTTCTTTATGTCTCCATTTCTAGATTTAGAAAATTTGGGAAACAATAAATCTTATTGTCAGCATTAAATATGATCAAAGTCAAATACAGAGGACCTGCCTATCACTTAAGCAAAACCAAGCCCACAGCCATCAAGTCAGGCTCATGACTACTGCGCAGGATTCTCTTGATTGTTGTTGTTGTTGCTGTTAAGTGCTGTCGAGTCACAGGCGACTCATAACGACCCTATGAAGGAGAGTCCTCGACGTTCTCTTGATTGTAATCTTCATAAAAGTAAATCACCAGGTCTTTCTTTTTTTTAAAAAAAATTTATAATTTTTGTGTATGTGTACCGTCAAATCAGATCGGACTGGTACAGGAGGAGAATGTCCCTCCTTCTCCAGCAAAGCATCTGGTGGATTTGAACCGCTAACCTCTGGGATTGCAGGTCTTTCTTATAAAGCATCACTGGGTGGGTTTGAATCACCAACCTTTTGGTTAATAACAAATAAAACATCAACAACCCTCAAACTCGTTGCCATTAGTCAGAACCAACTCACTGCTGACCCTCCAGCGAGTTTGCAGAGGCTGTAAGTCACGAGGGGAGAAATTGCCTGTCTTTCTCCTGTGGAACAGCTGGTGGATTCAGACTGCATACCTTTGAGTTGGTGCTGAAACTCTTTACCCACCAATAGGTGGAGGGGTGTGTGTGTGTGTGTGTGTGTGTGTGTGTAAACTATATATAACAAGACATTCAAGCACAAACCATTTGCATCACTCAGGTGCCAATAATTGTCAGCTAGTTTTGGTATCTTAGTTGCAGAATCTCAGTTTCCTCATCTGCAAAATGGGTCTGAGGATGCCAACTGTGTAAGTGACAGAGACACTTAAGACTTACTCATTTACCCTTTCAGCTAATAGTTATTCAATATTTTCTGAAGAGCTAATATGGTAGATAAGTCTCTGCTTCCAAGTAGTTTACAATCCAGTAGAGAGATGGAAAGATAGACACAAATCAAATAAGCCAACTCCAGACAGCCACGCCATGTAAGGGAAGGACAGAAATGAGGGGCAGGCGGCAGGCCAGTTAGATAGAGCAGTCAGTTAGGGGAGGCTTCCTGAGGTAGTAACATTTGGAATGTGACGGGAGGATGAGCGAGGACATAGCCATGTGAATATGTGAGGATGTCCAGGCAAAAAGCATAGCAAGTCCTGAGCTAGGAAAACCGTGGCAGGTTCAAAATTATTTTCAAAAATGGCCCAAGCAGCTGCAGCGTAATGAATGCAGGAGAGCAGAGTGAGGTGCGATCAGAGAAGTGGAGGATTTTCTTTTGTGTGTGTGTGTGTGTGTAGAATACCTATAACAAGACATTTGCTGATTCAACATTTTCACACATACAGCTCAGTGTAGCCAATTGTGTTCATGTTGTGCAGTCACCCTGTGTCCTCTTTCGAGCTTTGGGGATTGATTTTAGAGCTGTGGTGAGGAGCTGGACTTCACTCCAAGCACAGTAGTAGAGAGTTTGACTGTGGGCTGGGGCCTAGCCCAGGTTTGTAATATCAGTCTGGTTGCTGCAGAGCAAGAGGGAAGCTACTAGAGCAGGAAGGCCAATGAGGGGTTTGTGAGCGTCCAGACAGGGCAGGAGCCTGGACCAGAGTGGTGGCAGTGGGCATGGGGAGAGGCACTGGGTCCAGGATGCATGCTGGAAGCAGTCCTGTTGGGAGCTTGGCCCCTCTGTAAGGTGCACTGGTGTTGTTCTTGGCCCTGGGTGACCATGGGCTCTCCCCTTTCCTTCCAGCACTGGCCCCTGACTTCAGGCTGAATCCTGTCCGGCGTCTGATCCCTGCAGCCCGGGGAGGAGAGGTCACCATCCCCTGCCAGCCCAGGGCAGCTCCGCAGGCTGAGGTGCTCTGGAGCAAAGGCACAGAGATTTTAGTCAACAGTAGCAGGTGCAGCCCCTCTTCCCCCAGGACCTGCTTCCCTTCTCCTGGGACGGAAGTCCCCTCTACCCAGGACTACGGCTCATATTTGTCCTTGCTGCAGAGTGACTGTAACTCCAGATGGCACCTTGATCATAAGGAACATCAGTCGGTCCGATGAAGGCAAATACATCTGCTTTGCCGAGAACTTCATGGGCAAAGCCAATAGTACTGGTATCCTGTCTGTGCGAGGTGAGGGCTCCTTGGCCACATGATGACATATCTCCTCCGGTCCATTAGAGGGAGCTCTGGTGGCCCGGCACTAAGAAGGTGCGCTGTCAACACAAAGACGCAAGGTTCAAATCTTTGAGCTGCTTTTCAGGGGAAAGATGGGCAGTCTCCTCCCATGTGACTTAGCGCCTCTGAAAACCTGCTGGAGGGTCAGCTATGAGTTGGATCTGACTAGATAGTACACTGCAACAGCCACCACCCCATGGTCCTGCTCTGGCATACCCCCATTCTTCTTAGTTCAGTTTTGAAGGGACTCCAAGACTCAGTTTTGCCTATGATCACCCCTTGCCGTCATCTGGAATCACGCTTTCCCTCTTCCCACCCTGGGCTGGGGCAGCTGAGGCCTGGTAACCCATCACGAGCTGCCTCCTTCCATCCTTGGAGCCTCTCGCTCGCCTGCCCTTCTGCCCCTGCCTGGCCCGTTTCTGTCTCAGCCCACCCACAGGCCTGTCTTCCTTGGCAGATGCAACCAAGATCACTCTAGCCCCCTCGAGTGCTGACATCAACCTGGGGGACAACCTAACCCTGCAGTGCCACGCCTCCCATGACCCCACCATGGACCTCACCTTCACCTGGACTCTGGACGACTTCCCCATCGACTTTGATAAGCCCGGGGGTCACTACCGGAGGGCTAGTGCGGTGAGCCTGTGTCCCAGGGCTCCTCCCTCCTCCTGGGTAGACAGACACCCAAGGTGGCCTTAAGGATCATGTCCTTCAACTCTCCAAAGCCCTCCCTAGCCCCTCAGGCCCATGTGGACACACTCACCCTTGGGGTAATGGCCACCCTCCCTTCAGCAGACAGCTCCCTGGATGCCAACCGGTGACCAGGCTTTGGGGAGGTGGGAGATAAACCTGGGGTTCCAGGAACCCAGCACATCTCCCTAGCACTGTTGTTATTTTATAACATTACTAACTTGGACAGTCATGGGCTGTTCTCCACAGCAAACTTTGTTATTGAAGCTGCAGTACTAAGTGGGGGAGTAGCTGATTCTTCCCATTGAACATACAGGAAAACTGAGGTGTCGAGGAGTCTGATGGAGCCGGGACCCTCAAGTCAGCTTCGCGGCTCACTCCTCTAGCCAGGCTGCTCTCTGATCCGCATCCCTTTACTCTCCCCCGCCACGTGCAGAAGGAGACTATTGGGGACCTGACCATTCTGAACGCCCAGCTGCGCCATGGCGGGAAGTACACGTGCAGAGCCCAGACTGTGGTGGACAGTGCGTCTAAGGAGGCCACAGTGCTGGTCCGAGGTGATGGGGTTTCCCACCGCCCCCCATCCCAACTTCCTGAGAGGACCCACGGGCCTCCCCAACCCCTTGCTCTCTTTCCCTCCCCTCCCTGAAGGCTGTTGGGGTTTCTGGTAGAAACCCACTGAGCTGAGTATATTCCAAGGTTCTCTGCAGATTTTAGATGAGTAGAATATTCTTCCTCCAAAGCAAAGCTTTTAAAAAGCCACTTTTCTTAAGCACGAACCACAAACTGGTATGCTGTGCTGAGGCAAGAAGTTGTCAAAGACTTTTTTAACAAGATACACATAATGTCATTCGGTCAGTTCCAACTCATAAGGATCCCATCTAACAAAGTAGAACTGCCCCAAGGGGTTTCCAGGCTGTGGTTTATTCAGACCATCAGCTTTTGGGTTAGCGCCAAAGCGCTTAAACACCGTACCACCACAACTTATCCAAAGACTAAAAACCTCAAATTTGTTGCCATTGAGTCATAACCAACTCCCAGCTGCCCCTCCAGCAGGTTTTTTGGAGACTGCCAATCTCACGGGAGGAAACTGCCCATCTTTCCCCGCAGAACCTCTGGTAGGTTAAAACTGCCAGAGAGGTGCCACCCGGGTTGTTCGGCCGCATAGCTTGCTGCAGGCTGTGTCACCAGAGTGCCCTTTTCAAAGACTAGTGTGGTTGTGTGCCCTCGAGTCGGAGCCAACTCAGGGCTGATCCTTCTGTAGGTTTTCAGAGACAGACAGCCCATCCCTCTCTTGTGGATTCAAACCATGTGCCTTTTGGATTTCAGTGCAGTGTCTTAACACGGGGCCACCAGAGCTCCCTTTAGTCTCTCAAGGACAATGGCTAGGCAGTCTATCCACACATCTGCATGAGTGCCTCCATGAGCTCCTCCAGCCTTGAGCCTTGAGGGACCTGAACACATCCTTCCCACGGGCACAACCAGCCCCACATCCTACACTCCCCGCCTTGCCTTCGGGGTGAGAAGTGGGTTCACTGTGCCCCCTGCTGTCCCCTCTTTGTACTGCACCAGTCTGAGCCAGTCTTGGAAGAGGTTGGTCCAAATTGAAAGCTGCCCAATTCCGGCTCACCGTGCTGAGTCTCTTGATGTAGGTCCACCTGGTCCCCCGGGAGGCGTGGTGGTGAGGGCCATCGGTGACACCACTGTCCAGCTCAGCTGGAGCCGAGGCTTCGACAACCATAGCCCCATTGCCAAGTACACCCTGCAAGCTCGAACTCCACCTGCAGGGAAGTGGAAGCAGGTCCGGACCAGTAAGTGTGATGTCTGCCCACCGGTGCTGATGGAGAGGCAGGAGTGGCAGGAGGCGTGCAGGGGGGAGGCTGGTGCTTCAAAGCAGGACAAGTGCAGGCCCTCTGCCAGCTGGAAGATCCAAGGCCATTTCAGGGAGGCTGCTGCACAAAAGCAGGAGGAGGGGAGAATCAGGGGAGGGGAGATGCAGTCTGTGCTCAGGGGGACTATTACAGAGACAAGGAAACACTTGTAGAGGGAGAGCGTGTGTGGTCTCAGGAAAGGCACGGCAGTGGGGCCATCCTGTGCTGCTCCCCAAACCTCTCCTCTCCCCAGCATTTCTGAAATAAGTGTTGAGCACTCAGCATATGACAGGCACCGTGATGAGGGCTGGATATAGAGGTCACTTGGGTCCAGTCTCTGCCCTCTACATCCAGACCAGTAAGTGCCGGGATGTGGACTAACGCCTCCGATCCTGGTGACCTGCAGATCCTGCCAACATCGAGGGCAATGCCGAGACCGCGCAGGTGCTGGGCCTCACGCCCTGGATGGACTATGAGTTCCGGGTGGTCGCCAGCAACATCCTGGGCACTGGCGAGCCCAGTGGGCCCTCCAGCAAAATCCGGACCAAGGAAGCAGGTGAGAGTCATGGATCAGTGAGACCACCAGAGCAGAGCCCTGGCTCCTCCTTACAAGGTGTCCATGTCGGTGGCAAGCAAGCTCTGGGTTCTAGTCCTGCACCCCAGGCTCCAGACTCTCCAGCAAATGCACAGGAGTCAGGGCCAGGCCCAGCATCACACCATGCCTGCTGGAGATGGGAGGGCCATCTAGTACAACTATCTTTCCAGTAGAGGCCAGTCTTACAATGAAGCTACAACTGCATTGGAATCTACAAAGATATCAAACTTAAAGGGTATTTTTCATGGGTGAGAAGGAGGTTGGAGAAGAGAAATGTCACACTAAGTTTGAACTCAAATCCAGGCCCAGGCCTCCTGGGAGTTGCCTGAGCTGCCGGGATTGATTAATGAGAAGGTATGCATGGATGAAAGAGAGAGACAGAAACAGAGAGAGAAAGAGTGTGTGTGTAAAAGAGAGAGAATGTGAATTGTGTTGGGGGACAGGGTAGTATCCAGTGCCTGCAAGCCATGCTTCCCTAGTCTTAACAGGATTGCTATTTACTCAGAGATACAACACAGAATCGGGACCGAGCCTCCCTTCTTCTCACCCATAAAATGTACTGCCTTCGTGTCTCCCTCAAACATGTTTCCCTATATGCCCCAAGCTGACATTCAATGCTCTCTTTAGAATCACTCTGATTTTTCAACTGGCATCTCTTCTAAGAGAACACTTCCTTTAATTGACCCCAAACTCCTCTGAGAATCAGATGTGAGTGGTAAGGGGTGTCCTTCATTCTAGCATCCCCAGAATTGATGAATCAGTATAGGTGGGGTACAGAGGAAGGATGGACCCTCGCAGTCTTGCCACCTGGAGAAGACTAACTCCCATCTTCCAGGATCAAATGGGCAGTGTGCTGGGGAAATGACAAGGCCCTCAACTATCATCAGGGAGCTCCGGGCACACAGTCAGCAAGCAGGGAGTTGTACCGCTTACCAAAAGATGGTGCCTCTCTGGTGGTTCGTATTTGCCAGCAGCTCCTCAAAGGAAAGAAGGGGAATCTTCTCCCATATGATTTACAGCCTCCGCCTTGTAAACCCAGGGGAGGGTCAGCTGAGTCAGTCAGAGCTCAACGGCACTGAGAGAAAGAGGCTATCAGCACCAGAAACAAATGAAAAGTCTCTAATTGCTAGATTTCTCTGCAGAAATATTTTGACCCCCAGCCAAGCTACCTCCTGCCAAGCTGTGAAAGCTGATAAAATACATTCTTGTTTAATATCAGCCTTGTTTAATACTAGAGACAACTAGGAAATTAAATCTGCCAGGAAAAGGAAAATAAACGCCAGACATCCTGAAACCCCCCAAGAAATGCTGCTTGCATTAACTGCGGTTCTGGATTATTTATCCCATTTAATTTAAAGTAAAAGGAATCAATCTCTATCATTTAGTTTAAGCTAACGTGAGTGACGAGGAAAATTATCTTTTATGGAGCAGCTAATATGTGCTTGTGACTGTCCTGTTTAATTTTGCTCACTACAGCCCTGTGAGAGAAAGAGCATCAGCATTTTGTGGACAAGGTAACAGAGGAACAGAGAGTTTAAGTAACTTGTCCTGGGTAACACAGCTAGTTCACAGCAGAACTGGAATCGGATTTCTTCATCCCCAGGGACTGAAGGGCAAATGGAACTTACTTGAAGGGGTGTCCCTGTTTGCCTTTGTTGCTTCACTGCCCATTAACAAGTGCCGTCTGTGTCCCTTGGTCCCCCGCAGCCCCCTCGGTGGCGCCCTCCGGACTCAGCGGAGGAGGTGGAGCCCCTGGAGAACTCATCATCAACTGGACGGTAAGCTGGCAGGGACAGAACCGCACGCTCTGGGGACGAGCACTGCCCTCTCCTCCCCACTGGCCCTTTCTGGACTCGTGTCCCGCTCAGAGCAGGCCGGCCCTGAGCCTCCACCGCACCATCGCCCCCAGGGCCGCCCCTCTCGGGAAGGCTGGGAGCCAGAGGACGGGCCTGCAAGCGCCCGCGGCCCCTCGCCCATGCCACACTCTTGCCCCTCAGCCCATGTCGCGGGAGTACCAGAACGGAGACGGCTTCGGCTACCTGCTGTCCTTCCGCAGGCAGGGCAGCGACGGCTGGCAGACCGCCCGGGTGCCCGGCGCCGACGCCCAGCACTTCGTCTACAGCAACCAGAGCGTCCAGCCCTACACGCCCTTCCAGGTCAAGATCCGCAGCTACAACCGCCGTGGTGAGGGGCCCGAGAGCCTCACTGCGATCGTGTACTCCGCGGAGGAAGGTGGGCACCGCCCCCACTCCCTTAGGCCTGGTCCCCAACCTATTCCCGCCCTCTCCGCCCAGCCACGCCCCCTCCTGCTCAGCCCCGCCCCACCTTTGACCTTCCACTCAGCCCCACCCCTCCCCGGTAAGTCCCGCCCCTTCTTCGCCTCCCCGGCTTCCTCCCCACTCGGCCCCGCCCCTTCCCGGTAAGTCCCGCGCTTTCTTCACCTCTCTTGCTTCCTCCCTGCTCAGTCCCGCCCCTCTCTGATCAGCCCCACCCTTCTTTACTGAGCACCGCCCCCTGCCCTCATCCCCACAGCCCTAGCTCTAACCCTACTGCCCACTCCATTCTGCCCCGTCCCCCACCTCCCTCCCTCCCTCCCTCTCACTCCTGTCCCACCCCCACTCCGCCCCATTCACCCCATCCTGCCCTGCCCCACCCTCACCCTCTTCACCCTGCCTTGCCCCCACTTTCTCCACCTTACATGGCCCATCCACATCCACCCAAATAACTTGTCCTGTTTCCCCTCTCCACAAAATTTTCTGTACTGTTGAGACAAAACCGACTCATAGCTGACCCTCTAGCGGATTTTCAGAGGTTGTAAATCACACGGTAGAAAACTGCCCGTCTTTCTCCCACAGAACAGCTGGGTGTATTCAAACGCTTGCATTTGGTTGGCAGAGCAACTCCCTACCCACTGGGCTACCTGAGTTGAGCTCCAGTCTCTGAAGAGGGGGTTGAGGAGACTGAAACTCTAGACCCAATGCAGTGGGGTAGGAAGAAGTTAAGTGACTGCCATGGTCCTAAGCCATTTACCTCATTTCTGCCTAGACCACCAACCCACTACTCCACCATCCTGTTGCCTGCTCTCAGCAGGAGAGAAGAGTGCTGTTCTCTGGGGGGCAACGGGCATCCATGGGCGGGTCTGGTTTCCTCTGAAACCTTATTGAGAACAGTCTCAGGATGCAGGCTAATCTATAGGGCACAAGGAGGTCAAACTCATTCTGTACTAATCTCCAGAACCCCGGATGGCCCCTGCCAAAGTCTGGGCCAAAGGAGTGTCGTCCTCAGAGATGAACGTGACGTGGGAGCCAGTGCAGCAGGACATAAATGGTATCCTCCTGGGGTATGAGGTGAGCACTGAGCCTGGGCCTGGGCAGGGCGGGTGCTGGGGTGTTAATGTTACATAGGGGCACTGCGCAGCTCAGGAGCACTCCTCACACATCACTGCTCCCTGAATCATTCACTGGCCAGGCAAACAAGAGAGGACCCACTACTCTGGGCAGCACCGTAGATACAGAGACTACACATCTGATGCCACTGGGGAAGAGAGACTGTAGATTATTTAATAGACAATGAACACTTGGCTAGAGGCCATCACAGGAGATGGGGGACCCATGGGAGGAAAAGGCTCTGGACAGGGCTAAGTGGCTCCTGCTCACTCTCTGCTGCCGAGTGCTTCCTGGGCAGCCTTACCTGGGTGTTCAGCCCAGCATCCTCAGGGAACAGCATGGACCGCCCGTGTGCCCGCTGATCTTCGGCCCCAGGGGAGCTTATGGCCCGGCAGTCTCAGGCCTCACCCTGGACCCACAGATGACTATCCAGGGGCACCAGTGGAGCAGACAGAGGGCAAAAATGAGCAAGGGGAGGAGAAGGGAAGTCAGAGCTGCCTTTGCTGATGGGAGAATCCCTCAGGCTGAACGTGCTAGCGACATTGCAGATCGCATTCCAGTGGGGTCAGCTCAGCACCATGTAGAGCTCACTCCACTGGAGTGGAGAGTACGCAGAACAGTGAGGTTGTTGTTTGATTTTTTCGAGTCAAGTAAAACCCATAGCGACTCTCATGAGCAAACAGATCTGAACCCTGCCTTACCCTGTGCCATCCTCACAATCGCTAACATACTCAGATTCATTTCTGCAGTCACACTGTCAAATCTGGTTGAGGGTCTGTCTCTCTTTCACTGACCCTCCACCTTTCCAGGCATGATGTCCTTCTCCAAGGAATAAGCTCTCCTAGCAACAGGCCCAAAGTATGTAAGATGAAGCCTTATCATCCTTACCTCCAAGGAGCACTCTTGCTGCACCTTGTCCAAGCCCTCTTTGCTCTTTTGGCAGGCCATGGGATATTCAGTGCTCTTCTCCAACACTATACTTCAAAGGCGTCTGAGGAGAGAGATCCAGACCGCCCTTGATTTTAAACGTGCCTGTGCTATGCCAGGAGGAACCAGTCCTTGGATAAGGATGTCATGCTTGGGAGGGTGGAGGGACAGCGCAGGAGGGGAAGATGTGGGATGAGATGGATAGATTCAATGACTGGGTAATGGGTGTTGGTGTGTCAGAGTCAGTGAAGTTGGCTCAGGATAGAGCAGGGTTCAGAGCTGTTGTACATAGAGTTACTATGAGTCGCAGGCAACTCAATGGCACATAACAGCAAAACTAGTAACAACATGCTATTTAACCTTGATATCACAGATGCTACTGACAATGGGTGTGCACTTACCGTGCAGCCAGCATACACTTCCTAGGGGGAGGGGGCCACTCTGCAAGTACAAATGTACATGTCATGCTGTGGTGGTGGGTTGGTAGAATCCCTGCCTCCTGTACAGGGAGTGAGCTCTGGTGGCCTAGTGGTAAGAAACTGTCTTGCAATCCCAAAACGGTGAGGTTTGAATCCACCAGCTGCACTATGGGAGAAGGATGGGCAGTCTTCTTCCATGCGATTTAGTGCCCCTGACAACCTGCTAGAGGGTCAGCTGTGTTTTCAGACCAGCTATAGGTCAGCACACAGCAGCAACAACATGCAGGATCCCTGGCTTCAGTTCTTGTCCAGTGCACCTCTTGCTGATGGGGTCTTACCATTCCGTGTTGCTGTGAAGCTGAACAAGTTTTAGTGAAGCTTCCAGACCAAGAGGAATGAAGAAAGGCCTGGCAACCTCCATCCCCCAATCACAATAAATCACCACAGTCCAATCTATAGCTGATGTGGGGGTGATGCAGGAGGAGGCAGCATTTCATTCCATTCTCCAAGGGATTTCCATGACTTGAGACTGGCTTGATGGCAGCTAACAAGAAATCCTTAGCAGAATCCCCTTGGTAGTTCATGAGTTAGATAAATGGGAGTAGGATTTAGCAAGCCACTGCGAGAATGAGCCTGTGCCCATCCCCTGTTCATCACCCACTCGCTCCCTTATCTAATCCACAGTGAGCATCTTTCTTAGGCTCAGGACTTTGCTAGGGGCCCAGGAAACAGCACTAACAACCCTGACTCCTAATCTAGTGCACAGTCTCTGAGACCCACGGCGGAGTCAAAGGGCCAGGGGGAGGAGGAGAGAAGCAACATGGAGCTGTCCGGGGCCTCAATCAGGAGTCGGAGTGGCCCTGAGCTCTTGGGCTTGATCCTGGACCCCCTCTAGAATCCCTGCCTCCCTCAGATCCGCTACTGGAAAGCTGGGGACAAGGAAGCAGCTGCTGATCGTGTGAGGACTGCAGGGCTCGACACCAGTGCCCGAGTCACGGGCCTGCACCCCAACACCAAGTACCACGTGACCGTGCGGGCCTACAACCGGGCCGGCACCGGGCCTGCCAGCCCTTCAGACAGTGCCACTACCATGAAGTCCCGTGAGTGTGTGCGGGGTGGAGCAGAGAGAGGGGGTTTATTGAGAGAGGTATGGCAGCGAGACCTGAGGAACTCCAGAGTGCCCTCAGCTTGTCTCTCTCAGCCTCATGGGGTTTTCTTCTCAGGCAGTAGTAGAGTCTGTTATCAGCAGTCCTCCTGAAAGGATTGACTCACAGGATGCCCGCGGGTGGGGTGGTGCAACACTGGGAAGTCTCCAGCTCTCCCTTCTTGGTAGCTCCCCAGCGACCTCCTGGCAACATCTCCTGGACCTTCTCCAGCACCAGCCTCAGCATCAAGTGGGACCCGGTGATTCCCCTCCGCAATGAGTCTGCAGTCACTGGCTATAAGGTAAGGAAGAGATCGAGCAAGCATCCAGTGGTGAGAACAACCCACAGGCATGTCCAGTAAATAAAAGAGAGCCCGTGGGTCACACACACACGGTGAAGGGCCGGGAGGGCTGGCAATTGGAATCTACGCTGAGGTCCCTGGGGACACAGGTCTGGAAATCCACTCCTGAAGGCTGAAGGCCATTGAAACCTTGTGGGGCACAGTCGCACTCCACTCACATGGGGTCATCATGAATTGGAATCTACTTGATAGCAACTACTACCACCTCCTGGGAGCTCTGGTGGTTTAGAGATAAAGAAAGACCTGTGCTGCCCACCCAGTGGTACATGACTCAAATCCACCAACTGTTCCATGAGAGATGCTCATGAAAGATGGACAGTCCTGTGCAATTTACTGCCTCTGAAAACTGGCTGGAGGACCAGCTATGAGTCGGTATCTACTCAGTGGTACATTATGACACCACCATCTCAAGGGAGCAGTAGTTTATATTAAGAAGGATCTGAGTTAGACCTCAGCAGCGATCTGATTGGGAGAAGCATGAAGTTTGTAAGTGGTTCTCCAGATACATTTTAGAGGCCAATACGAGGGCACGCGGGAAGGGAAAGGAGTTCATGGAGGCGGTATAGCTGGCTGGAGTCTAGAGGTCCCTCAAGCCTAAAGAGTCTGCAGGAGGAGTTAGCTACTTGCAAACTTTCCTTCCCCACCATGAGGAGCTCATTCAAGAGTAGTGGACACAGAGATGGGTATGTAGGAGAACCTTTCGTCCAAGGATCTTGGGACCCACGGGGCTCCTCCTGGGACTCGGGCTGGGAAGAAAAGAGGGACCAGACCTGGGGTGAGAAATCCCACGTGGCTCCCCTCTTCTTACAGATGCTCTACCAGAATGACTTGCACCCGTCACCCATGCTCCACCTCACCAACAAGAACTGGATCGAAATTGCTGTGCCTGAAGACATTTCCCACGCCCTCGTGCAGATTCGGACCACAGGGCCTGGAGGGGATGGGATCCCGGCTGAAGTCCATATCGTGAGGAATGGAGGTGCAGCCTCTCCCCTACCTGGTTCCTCTGAGTGTCAGGGTTCACCCAGATACTAATGCAGGAACCATCCCCACCTAAGCCAACCCCAATTCTGCCAAACCCCAAAGGGAATGGGGGTGCTAAGCAGTCCTGGCACTGCTCCCTCCCTGCCTTCCCCACCCATAACAAAGCATCCCTGGGGGTCAGGGAAGTGAGGGTCTCTGTTTACCGGGGTGCAGGGAAGGCTGACACTCAGCAAAAGCAACAGTTGTACATTTGGGACGTGCAGCTGACAAGGCCCCCCAGCCCTCCACATTCCCCGTCCTGATGCTGGCCCGGAGTCTCCTTAGGAAAGGGCTTGATCCTATTCAGAGGGCAGGGCTGGGTGTTCTCGTGCCTGGCAAACTGTAACCTACATGTCTGCCAACTGCTTTCAGGCACAAGCATGATGGTGGAGAATGCGGCAGTCTGTCCATCCATGCACCCCGGTGCTGTGCTCCCCCCGTCCATGGCGGTGCTCTTCGTCCTCGGCTACCTGCAGCTCTGATCCCGGCCGCCCACCTTCTCTGCCAGAGCTGGACGCCCACCTCCAATGGACACAGTCAGCTGACCCCAGCACCTCCCAGACACCAGGGGAGCCCAACACTGTGCCCAAGAGTGGTTGGTTGTCCAGACCTACTTTAAACAGTGCCCTTCGTGTAGGAGGTAGGATGTTCCAAATTCTGCCACAGGATAGACCCCACGAGAGGATTTTTTTTGTTTTCTTTACATCAAGAGGCAAAAGACAGTAACTTCCATAGTCCTGGACTCTGTGCCTGGGCCCTCTCCGGGGTCTGGATGAAGGAGCAGGCCTATGGGAAGAAGGAAATTGGAAATGTGATCTTCAAATCGGTAAAGACGGTGCTCCAGGATCATGTCTGGACCCTGCACCTCGCAGAGCCCAACAGGACTGTGATGAGCAGATGCAAGGAGTGAGGTGAACTCTGGGACCAAGGACTGTCCCTCTGTCCCCTCATGAGGGGTGGCATAGCTGGACCCCAACATTGTCCTGGATGACTCCCTGGAGGCCCCAGGCACCTCCAGCCTGCTGAGAACTGGGACCCTGATGTCTGCCGCCAGGTGCCTGAGCCCCTCAGCTTTGGGACATGACAGTCCAGGCTGGGCAGGGTCGGAGGGGCTGGGAGGGATGAGCAGAGAAGGGCTGGGACGTGTGGGAATGAGCGTCAGCCTGGGCGGTCACGGTCCTTCTCAGTCAACACTGCCAACGTGACTCTGTTACCCACCTCCCAGTGACAGAAGCCACTACAGGTGACTGGATGACTAAAGGGCTGTCTTGGGGAGGTCCTCCACCCCAAGACCCATCCTGCACAGTCCCCCTGCCACATACCCAGGGTTTGGGCAGCATGTGGAGGGGCAGGAGTCTGCCAACTGTGCCCCACCCTCCTCCAGCTCCACCTGCTCATCTGCAGTCACCACCCCTACCTGCAGGCCCCTGACCCTCACTCTCCTGCAGTGCTGACAAGGTGGGGGTCAGGGGAGCATTCTTTCTTTGTGTCCTGGAGTCAGGAGTCTTCTGAGTAATGTAGGGGGTGAGACTGGCCCATCACCTCCCCAGGGGTGCCCTGGGATCACCTGACGAGGTGTCCCCACACAGCCTGGGATGACTCTTTTGACAGGAAAGGCCCTTTGTGCCTCCAAGGAAGGGAATCATAAATGGGATGTGCCACCTTGCACCCCAGCTGTGTCAACAGTCAAAAAAACCTCTGAGCTGGAAGAGACCCAGAGCTCAACTTGTCCACGCCCCTTACTCTACAGACAAGGAAACTGAGGTCCAGAGAGGAATAGGGACTTTGCAGAGTCAAAACAGCCTGTAAGTGAGAGGCCTTGGGATAAGGATTGGGGTCTCCCACGTCCTCATTCAAGGCTGGCTGGCTGTCTATCCAGTGGAAGGGCTCCCAGGGAGCAGAGCTGAGGGGCTCTGGACTGGTAAAGAAGGGGCAGCAGGGTGTGAACACTCTGCTTTGAGGTGTTCAGGTTGGTAACCTGGGGACTCGGCAGTGGCTAGCCTACCCCCTCGATTCCTGGAGTCATCCCGGCTGCTGTCTTCTCAGCCCAGTTATGCTGTGTGACCTCAGTGTGCACTGCTGACTGGGATCCCCCACGGCGCTTCCCCTTGCTCCCCAAGAAGAGGCCAAAGCAAGGGTGGGGACTCCCCCGGTCCAGAAAGCAGTAGCAGCATGAGGACACTCAGCTGATGCTGAGAGGTGGTACTTCCAGGTGGCAGCAACAAGACAGGCATCTGGGGGCTCAGCCCCTCAGGGACCCCCTGAGCCTGTCTGCTGTTGTTTGCAGGTAGAGCTCTATTTTGTTATGGCTTTTTAAACTTTCAGCTCCTGCTCTTTTTTTCCCGGGCAGGTTTGCATTGATGTTTACCTAGAACAATTTGTTGTATGTTTTGTTGTTGTTTTTTTAATGTCAGTTCACATCTTTCCTCCCAGCCACCAGCTAGGAGTGCTCCCTGGAGCCAGGGCCACCACAATCCCGCCCGCATCCCCATCTCCCACACGTTGGCCTCCGGGGCTGAGCTGTGTCCACCCTACCCCATGACAGGAACCCCAAACACGGCCTAGCACCCCTCCTGGCGCTATAGCTCTGACTGGGCCTGTGCCCAGTTCTCCATCAGAAGGGAGTGTTGGGAGAAGAGGTGACCTTTTTTCTAAGGGTGAGCTGGTTCTCTCCTTGCAGGCCGTGGCAGGAGAGGCAGAAAGATGGGGGTCCAGGTGTTGGGTTTAACACATATCCTGACCAGGGTAGCTGAAAACCGCAGCTCCTAAGCTTGCTTGAAGCAAAACAAAGAAAGAAAGATACTTGTGGCTAACTGCTTTCGCCTTAATGGCATCCACAGGAAGCCTCGGAGCTTGGTGGGAATGGGCTCAGGGGCTAACCAAAAGGTAAGCAGTTGGAACCTATCCACTTCTCAGAGGAAGAAAGTTGTGGCAGTCGGCTTCTATGGAGAATGCAGCCTTGGGAACCCTATGGGGCAGTTCAGTTCTAAGTTCTAAATCAGAATCATAGACAACTGGTTGAGAGGTTTGGGGTTAAGAGAAGTTTAGGGTTGAATGAAGTCTGATGGAAAAGGAGAGGAGGGCAGATTTGCAGGGGAAGAGTTTTAACCAGGGAAATTAAGTCCCAGGAAACCCTAACCACCATGCAGAGATTGGTTAGGGATCTGGAATGATGTTGCAGTGTGGAGGAGCAGTTAAATGGCTGAGGGAGGCATCCCACGCCATCAGGGGACTTTGGCAGGCCTGCATTTAGAATGGAGCACTGTCATGGGGTAGTTCCCCAAATTGGCTAGGAGGTATCTACCTAGGAGTGGTATTTCAGGGCCCCTTCCTGCCCAAGGGGACTGGTTTTCCTCATCTCTGCTCAGATAGGCTGGGAGAGCAGAGTTTGGTGCCCTTCTGTTGTGTTTACTGTCCTGAATTATCTCCTCTCACGAACTGGGCAGGCTGGTTTCCCCAGCACTTACAGCCCTGGAGGCAGCAAGGGAGAAAAGGTCATAAACAAGTACTTTCCCACCCAGCTCAGTGGCCAAGAAGTGCCTTGAAGACAAGGGTCAGAGTCAGTCTCCAGGCACCGCTTTGGGGTCTGCACACATCTGGGCTCCACCTCCAAGGTCCTTTGTCCCTTGTCATGGCTCCCTCAGAGGGCAGCTCCCTTGCAGGGGAGGCTAGAGCCCTGCAGGCGCATTAGGACATCAAATAGACATGGTGCTGGGGGGTGGGAGGGCCATGTCTGAAGAGGCAAGGTGAGAACAGACCCGAAGCCCACTTTTTTCACCTTGCAGCGTCCACTGGTGATCCAGTCTTCTAACCACCTGGTTTTATTTGGGGGGAGGTGTTCTGGAGTGGCCGGAGGGTGTATTTCTCTTTACTCTTGCTAATACAACAGCAAGAGAGGTTAAGGTTAGACATCTGAGAAGAGCTTCTGCAATGAGACCCTGGCTTCTTCCTTTTTTATGGAGTTCTGACAGGAATTTTGGCAAGTAGTTTGGTGAGAGTTCTGGTTTAGATGAAATCTAGACCAAGCCGGATGGGGAAATGCTCTTTGTAAGTTTCCTTCCAGAGCTGAGATTCTTAGAATCAAACGTGTTCCACAAGGAAGAGTCTTGGGGACATGTCTGCTGTGGCCTCTGCATTTGAAGAGAAGTGACTGAAAGTCACACAACCATAAGGGAAAGGGCTAACGAAGCCCAGAAATTCTGATCAAACACAGCGCTTTTCCCGGCCCCAAGAGCCAGCCAGCCTGTGCCTGACTGCAGGCACCCAAGCTGGCCGACATGCTTACTCCCATCTTCCCCATTTTCAGAGGAATGCCTTGCCTTCTAAGCCCAGAATGTGAACACCGGCTGGACCCAGTGCTGGAGGGACAGTAGTGTCCTCTCACCTGTGCTCATGGGGACAGGTGGAGGACACTATTTCTGAGTCAGACCTGGACATTTGGGAGTCTGAGCGAGGCTCTTGGACGTGGTGTGAGAGGGACTAGAATGGCATTTCCTGAGAGACTTCAAAGAGCTCCACGGAAGCGGGTGCCCCATGGACTTGTGTATAGAGCGCGCCTACGGGCTGGCAGTTTATACATAGGGTTGAGGAGTTAGAATTGATGGGACCTAATAACATGGCTTTGGGAGGAGGGCATAAGGGTCAGAGAACTTTACCCAGCAGCTCAGGAAGCCATAGGGGCCTAAAGCCTTTGATGCCCTGAGACGAGGTCCATCCTGCCTTGGTCCCCCAGCCTCCTCTGACTTTCCTGCCCCATCTGGACATGCAGAGCTTCGAGGTGCTCATGGGGGGCAAGTGCTGGGACTCCGTTATTGTTGAAATGGAACCACACCTACTGGCCTATTATTTCTCTCTCTTGTACTTCTTGTAACAGTAGTTATTTATTGACTGTGGTAGCAGGCAGTTCTTAAATAAAGTTGGATTCCCAACCTGTTGAGGCAGCTGGCAAGAGCTGGGAGTGTATCTTTAGGCCAGCGCAAACCTCTGTTGTTCTCGTGTACCCCAAACTTTCACCTCTCATGCTTTGTTATGAAATACAGCTCACACAGCTTTATTCACTCCTGGGCAAAAGGAAAATCAAGCTGAGAGACTTTAAAGCAGGTCTGAGTTGGAACTGACATGTCCGTAATAGTTTTCTTGTGGGATGGAAGGGAGAGAGTCCAGTCGAGCCCAACAGGTTTTTATAGACTGTGCTGGCTGGCTTTCCCCAACAATGGGCGGGACAAGATGCTTGCGTGAAGGGGCTGCTTCATGGTTCCCCAATTTTCAAGACATCTGAGATGCTGATTCACTGGTCCTAAAGAGAGGTTTTCTCTCTATAGATAGTGTTATGTGCAGTCAAGTCACTTGTGACTCATAGTGACCCTATGCACAATAGCTCTGAACCCTGGTCTATCCTAAGCCAATTTCATTGCCTCTGACACACCTACACCCCCATTACCCCAGTTACTATGTCAATCTATCTCATCCAAGGTCTTCTTCT